TTTCCCTAATATTTAGTGATGTTGAACATCTTTTCATGTGCCTGCTGGCCATCATATGTCTTCTTTGGAAAAATGTATTTTCAGGTCCTGTACCCATTTGTTAAGCAAACCTTTTTTTTTTTTTGCTATTAAAATTTTTTTATAAATTTTTTTAACGTTTATTCATTTTTTGATAGAGAGACGGAGCGTTAGTGGGGGAGGGGCAGAGAGAGAGGGAGACACAGAATCTGAAGCAAGCTCCAGGCTCTGAACTGACAGCACAGAGCGTGACCTCAGTTCGAGCAGGGCTCAAACTCACGGACCATGAGATCATGACCTGAGCTGAAGTCGGATGCTTAACCAACTGAGCCACCCAGGGGCCCCTAAAAATTTTTTTTAATGTTTATATATATATATATTTTTTCTTTTCTTTTTTTTTTTTTGAGAGAGAGAATGGGCAGAGGAGGGGCAGAGAAAGAGGGAGACACAGAATCTGAAGCAAGCTCCAGGCTCTGAGCTATCAGCATAGAGCCAGACATGGGGCTCGAACTAATGAACCAAGAGATCATGACCTAAGCCAAAGTTGGAGGCCCAACTGACCGAGTCACCCAGGCACCCTGAGTTATATGGGTTCTTTATATACTTCGGATATTAACCCCCTATCAGATACATGATTTGAAAATATTTTTTCCCATTCAGTAGGTTATCTTTTCATTTTGTTGATGGTTTCCTTTGCTGTGTAAAAGCTTTTTGTTTTGATGTGGTGCCACTAATTTATTTACCTTTTATGGTCTTGGTTTTTAGAGTCAGATCCAAAAAAAAAATCATCACCAAGACTAATGTCAAGGAGTTTACTGCCTGTGTTTCCTTCTAGGAGTCTTATGGTTTCAGGTCTTACACTCAAGTCTTTAATCCATTTTGAGTTAATTTTTGTGTGTGGTGTCAGTTGGCTAGTTTCATTCTTTTGCATGTTGCTGTCCTGTTTTCCCAACACCATTTATTGAAGAGATTGTCTTTCCCCATTGTATATTCTTGCCTCCTTTATGATAAATTAATTGACTTATGTATGTGTGGATTTATTTCTGGACTTTCTATTCCATTCCATTGATTAATGTGTCTGTTTCTATACCAATACCATACAATTTTGATTACCATAGCTTTGCAATATAGTTTGAAATCAGGGAGCCTGATGCCTCCAGCTTTGTTATTCTTTCTTAGGATTGTTTTGGCTATTTAAGGTCTTTTGTAGTTCCATACAAATTTTAGGATTTTTAAAAAACTTCTGTGAAAAGTATTATCAGAATTTTGATAGGGATTGCATTGAATCTGTAGATTGCTTTGGGTAATATGTACTTTTAAGCAGGATTAATTCTTCCAATCCATGAGCATGGAATATCTTTCCATTTCTTTGTGTCATTTTCAATTTCTTTCATTAATGTATAATTTTCAGTATACAGATCTTTTACCTCCGTGGTTAAATTTATTCGTCTGTATTTTTTTTTTTTTTTGGTGTAATTGTAAATGGGATTGTTTTCTTCTCTTTCTGATAATTTGTTATTAGTGTATAGAAATGCAACTGATTTTTGTATATTGATTTTGTACTCTGTGACTTTACCGAATTCATGTAGCAGTTCTATAATGTGTGTGTGTGTGTGTGTGTGTGTGTGTGTGTGTGTCCCTGTGTAGTCTTTAGGGTTTCCTATATATAAAATCATGTCAAAAAAAAAAAAAAATCATGTCATCTGCAAATACGGCAGTTTTATTTCTCCTTTCCAATTTGGATATCTTTTCTTTCCTTTTCTTGCCAAAATGGTCTGACTAGGATTTCCAATACTATGTTGAATAAAAGTGGCGAGATTAGTCCTCCTTGTCTTGTTCCTGATCTTAGCGGAAAACCTTTTAGTTATTCACCGTTGAGCATGATGCTAGCTGTGGGCTTGTCATGTATGGCTTTTATATGGTGAGGTACGTTCCGTTTATACCCACTTTGCTGGGAGCTTTTTAAATCATAGATGGATGTTGACTTTTGTCAAATGCTTTTTTTGTATCGATTGAGATGCTTATGATTTTTATCCTTCATTTTGTTAATGTGGTGTATCACATTGATTGATTTGTGGATGTTGAGACATTCTTGCATCTTTGACATAAATCCCACTTGATCATAGTTATGATTCTCTTAAAGTATTAAATATGGCTTGCTAATATTTTGTTGAAGATTTTTACATCTGTTTATCAAGGATATTGGCCTGTATTCTTATTTATTTATTTGCTTGTTTGTTTGCTTATTTATTTACTGATTGGTTGATTGTTGTGTCCCTGTCTGGTCTTGGTATCAGGGCAATGCTGGCTTCATAAAATGGATTTGGAAATATTTAAAGAATCTTTATTAGTAGTAAAATATTTGACAATGAAGGTAAATTAGAGGAAAATTCAAATAAAATATTTGGATAAAATTCTTTTTAATCTTTTGGCATTGGATGTGTATCTCAGAGCTCCTGATGACAAGGAAACTACAGTCTGTAGGCACATCTGAGGCGTGTGGAGAGGAGAATAATGAATATTGGTCAGGTGATGACACCTTGGAGTGTGAGCTCCCCGGAGGCAGGTGTGGCATTCTCCATGCCTCAGCATCCTCCACACTGCCTGGTCCATAGGAAGCTTTCAGGAGGATTACATTCGAGCCTTCTTGAAGATAGATGGGCAGTAGGCAGGGGTAGTTTGTTTTACAGATGAGGAGCTGATGCCTAGAAAAGGGTGAATTGCCCAAAGTTTTTAGCAATGAGTAGCCAAGTCAGGCCAGACCTCATACCTCCTGACCCCCTGACCAGTAAGTACCCTTCTCATCCCCACAAGGTTGCTCAGTCACCACCACTGACGGGAAGTGGACCAGCTCCTCTCTCCCTGTCTCTGGAACACCTTTAGGTATCATAGGCAGAACAATGAGCCCTCTGGATGTCTACCTCCCGGGCCCCCAGAATTCGTGAATATGTAAGATCACGTCATAAAGAGCACTTAAGGCCCATGGAATTAAGGTTGCTAATCTGTTTACCTTGAAATAGGATTATTATCCTGGATTATCCAGTAGGCCCAGTGCTGTCCCAAGTCCTTAACTGGAAAAGGGAGGCAGGGGAGAACTAGAGATGTCAGCACGAGAAAGATGAAGCCCGATGCTGCTGGTTTTGAAGACAGAAGAAGGACCACAAGCCAAGGAATGCTCTAGAAGCTGAAGAAGGCAAGGAAATAGATTCTCCCTCAGGGCCTCTAGAAAGAATGCAGCAATGCCAATACTCTGATTTTGAGTTCACTGAGACTCAATTTGGACTTTTGACTGCTAGAACTATAAGATAATAGTTCTACAACAACTTGTGTTGTTTTGAGCAACCAAGTTCATGGTACTATGTTAGAGCAGCAACGGCAAACTAATACAATGGATATTCCTGGATTCCTGGCAGGGCACCTTTGAAAAGAGAATATTGTGACCTCTCTCAGCGAGGGGAGAGGCGTTGGGCAAAGCCCACCTGTTTACAGTTAGCCATCATGCTTAGTTTAACTGTTTACTAATCCAATTAGCAATTTATCCATCAGCTGTGATTAAATCATTTTTAGGTTAAGATCAGGTGAAGTTCCTAATGAAGCATTGGAGGAAAAATGCCGTAAAGAAGGCCTAAGTGAACCCTTATGACAAGCTTCTGAAGTGGGTATTGTTATACGCACTTTATGGGTGAGGAAACTGAGGCTCCAGAGGGAATCAGTACACTGTCCAAAGTCCCATAGTGAATGGCAGAGTCAGGGCTCGAACCCAGGTTTGCCTGACCTCAAGTACTTTCCTGCTGAATACGTTATAGAGGAATTTCAGATTCCCTCTGTGGAGACCCGTACTCTGCCCACTACAGTGCTTATGTTAAGTTACCGCACATGCTCCCTGCGTTGCCTGGGTTTTATCTGTCATTTCCCCCACCGAGTTCTTGCCCCTTTAATTAGATCATGCTCTCTAAGAGGTAGCAATGGCTCCTTCTGAGTTTTGCTCAGCACCTGGAGCCTGCTTTAGAGGCTCACCAAATTCCTCCTAGAGGAAACAATGAAATCTGCCAGGAGAGAAAGAGGAAACTCCTTCCTCTATTTTCAATCTGTGGGAAATTCCCGCCTCCTTTCCCTGAAATCCCAAACCGACTTTTGCAGTTAGCCACTACTGGATATCGCAGCAAAGGTAGGTGTATTAGCCTAGAAATTTTTTTTAGTAAAAGTTTTAAAAACTCAACATTGAAGGTGGGAAATACTTGGTAGCCTTTGATGTGCATGAGGGAAGTTGGCTAGAGTTTTGGTAGGGGGTGTGACCTTACACACGCGCACCTCTTTACCGAATATGAAAGATTCTCTCTGCTTCCTCAATCCTCGGATAATGGTCGGTTTTAATTCCTGGGAGCCTCTCTATTGCTGTTCTGGGCGGATGGAGAGGTCTTTTGCTTTACTTTGCTCAGTAAAATCCTTTAGGATTCCTGCATCCCTTCATTGCATGGTGCTACAAAGCGGGCCAGGGAGTTTGGGCAGCAATGTGGGGCGGTGGAAAATACACTGGCTCTGAAGCAAGAGCACTAGGCCTTCTCCAAGGTCAGGCACCTAAACCCGGGGCCTTGAATATTCCTTCCCCTGTTTCAATGAAATGTACACATGTGCGTACTCAAAATCTACTTAATTGACAAATTGATGTGTGTCTCTGGGATTGTTTGTGCAACCAACTGCATGCGAATCTGAGAGAGGCGAGGGCGTCAGAAGGGCGAGCTGGGATATTTTAATATTCAGTATTTCCAGACTCAGCAGGCAGCAGGCTAAATCTGTCCGCTGATGGGCAGACATGAATTATGAAACCACTCACGTAGGTTGAGAGGTTGCCCGGAGCTGGGCAAGTATCGCCACCAGTGTCTCTGCAGGCTGGCTGGGGGTGGGGTCGCTCCCGGTCAGCAGAGATGGTCTGTGGACAGGTGTGTGATCACAGTGCGGGTGTGGCCCCAATGCAATGGGTCCCCCAGCGGCCCAGAGACAAGGTGGGCGGTGCGTCGCAGAACCGGAAAGCAGCCACAGGCTGACCCCGGCTTTCTGTGTGGCTGGAGGGGGAGGCGGCCCCCTAGTGGCAAAGGTCCGCACAGGGGCCGAAGTTCAACGAGTCCCAGAGACTAAAGGTGACCTTCCTGCCCTGGGTTCTGATGCCGCCTCCCACGACCGGGGGCCGTGCCGGCTGGGGGTGCCCCAAGGTGAGGCTGGGAGGCCAGGTCTAATGGTCAAGGCGAGAAAACTGAAGCTAGGGGTAGGCGAGGGGATGGTGGTGGTGGACTGTGTCTAAGGGCCAGGGAAGAGAATGAATGAGTCAAGCCTGTGAAATAGTATGTTAACAAGTCAATAATAACCATTTACTGCTGATCTGTGTCTAAGACGGTGCTGAGCACATGACACGAATTTTCTCAATTCCTCACAGCAACCCTATTCATTAGATATTATTTCCCCATTTATAGACAAGAGGCAAAGAATCATTAATGTGTCTGTGGTAGTTAGCAGTTGGGTGATGTCACGTAGGCACTTTACAAGCATTATGTCACATAATCTTCACGCTTATTTTAGGAGGTAGGTCTCATTACTCCTTATGTCAGTTATATCATCGAAGAAGCCAGGCCTAAAGAGGGTGTGTTATCAGTAAGCGTTTACAACATAGCAACCCACCCCCAAACGTAGTGCCTTGAGATGGCAAACCCTCATGTAGTTTTCAGTGCAGTGAGTTGACAATTTGGGCTGGGTTCCCCTGGACAGTCCTTCTAGTCTCAGCGGGGCCATGGAGAGCATCACACATCTATGGTCAGATGCTGGTCAGCGAGGAGGTGCCCCCACTCAAGGGGACTGGTTGGTTGTAGGCTGGGGTGAGGGTGGAGACTGGCACACTTGTGTCTCATCATCTAGTCGGCCAGCCTGGGTTTGTGGCCGGGCAGGGGTCTGAGAGGGAGCTTGGAAACACGCCAGGTCTCTTGAGGCCCAGTCTCCAAACTGGTGAAGGTCACGTCTGCTGCATTCTATTAGCTAAAGCAAGCCCGGGACCAAGGGACAGGGAAGACAGATTCCGGATGGGAAGGGCTGTGAAATCACAGAGCATACGGTGAGTGCGGATACAGGGGGGGATGGAGAACCAGGCCCATATTTTTTTTTTTTTTCTTGCAATATATCACTAGGTGGGAATGGGGAGCATGTGAGGGAACCGGTCTGGGTGGGGTGAGATTCCCAGGTGGGAAGAAGAGTACACGTCTCTGAAAGGCAGGCTGGTGTGCCTGGAATACGGGAGGAGAAATGTGGAGGAGTTAGGGATGGGGTGCTATTCTGAGCACTCATCTGGGTTAACTCAGTCCTCATGACAACCCCACGAGGTAAGTGCTGTGGTGTCTTCCCCTCTTTCCAGATGGGGAAACTGAGGCCTGGAGAGGTCAGACAATAGTCTAAGTCCCACAGTGAAGCGTCAGTGTCAGGTCTCCAACGCAGGGGGTCCAGCTCCAAAGCTCACACCCTGAACCACTTGCCACACTGCTGGCACCACAGCAGGGAGGAGAAGGGACAAGGCAAAGAAGAGTTTGGCGCATAGTATGAGGGCAGGTGTTGAAACTACTGTCCTGAGAGGCCTAGAGACACTAGGGTAGAGATTCCCTGTCACTTCCTTTTCTTTAAAGAGTCTATTTATTTATTTTGAGAGAGAGGTGGGGGGAGGGGCAGAGAGAGGGAGCCAGAATCCCCAACAGGCTCTGAGCTGTCAGCACAGAGCCCAACGTGGGGCTCGAACCCACCAACTGAGATCATGACCTGAGCCGAGATCAAGAGTCAGACACTTAACTGACTGAGCCACCCAGGCACCCCCCCTTATCACCTCCTGTCTTCTCAAGAGTAGGACTGCTTATTTCTATTTGGATGTGGGAAGGAGCTAGTCTTTCTGATTCTGTGACCCTACAAATAAGTGCATAATGTCAAATGTATTCGTGAAGATACTTTTTCTTTAAGCAGCAGGAACTGATTCCATCTAGCTCAAGTTTAAAATGAAGTATTTCTGGGGGCGCCTGGGTGGCGCAGTCGGTTAAGCGTCCGACTTCAGCCAGGTCACGATCTCGCGGTCCGTGAGTTCGAGCCCCGCGTCAGGCTCTGGGCTGATGGCTCGGAGCCTGGAGCCTGTTTCCGATTCTGTGTCTCCCTGTCTCTCTGCCCCTCCCCCGTTCATGCTCTGTCTCTCTCTGTCCCAAAAATAAATAAAAACATTGAAAAAAATTTTTAAAAAAATGAAGTGTTTCTGTTGTATGGAAACCAATTTGACAATAAATTTCATATATTAAAAAAAATAAATAAATAAAATGAAGTATTTCTTGGAAAAGTGCTGGGAGAGCTCACAGAATCAGCCCGTCCTAGGAATGGCAAGAACTAGACAAGCCCCCGGGACCTGAGCTGCCGGCAGCATTCCGTGGGCTCACTTTCTCATTTGCTGACAGCCATGTGACTTGGGTGTAAAAACCTCCCATCACTATGACTTCTTGTTTATGTCTTGACTTCCCACGAGAGAGAATCTGGCCCAACATTGTTTTTACACTGGACAAGCTGGATCTGTCCAGGGGAACAGGGACATGAGCACAGCCGAGGCCACTGGGGGAATGTCTATGAAGCCATCTTGCTTGGTGTCTAACTGCTTGGTGGCAGAATTAAGTTCTAAGCACCGCTCCCTACATCCACCTGGATAGTTCCAAGGACATAGCTTGTCCCAGGGAAAGGAATAGGCTTCTGTCTCCCAGGGATCCTGAAGTTCCAGAGATTCTGACCAAACTCACACTCTGCAGCTTTATTGCAGATACAGATTCACAGCAAGAACATTTGAATATGATTTTATTAATTGCGTTTTTTCAAGTCCAGCAGTTTTCATTAAATTACAACAATCCAAGGCAGATGATATCCTTAAGCTCAAACAATTTTGCCATGCAAAGATTATATTTATATGAGAGTGCTTTTCAGTCCTGACTTCCTAAGTGATCGGCTTATAAAATATTTATTAGTGGTTCAAAAGCATTGCTTTTGCAAATTCAGTATCTTCTTTAGGATAGATTTCAGGGCAGACGGCTCTTTTGGGTTTGAGTTCACGGTGTGATGTGCAAAGGTACTTCCTTGTGTTTACTGAGGGGTGAAGTCAGGCTCTGTAGGTGGTCAGCTCCTTGTGTGATTTGCCCCAAGACTGAAAGGCCACTTGCACAGATTAAATGAAATCCACGGTTTTCAAAAATAAATTTGGCTACTTAAATTTCTAGATAGGAGTTCATTTTTTTTTCTCTTTTTAAACTGTACTTATTTATTTTGAGAGAATGAGAGAGAGCAGGGGAGGGGCAGAGAGAGGGAGACACAGAACCCCAAGAATCCGACGTGGGGCTCGAACCCAGGAGCCGTGAGATCATACCTGAGCTGAGATCAACAGTCCGACGTTTAACCAACTGAGCCATCCGGGTGCTCTGATGGGAGTTTCTTATACATGGGCACAACTGGCTTCCAAATAAATATTTTATAATTGCTCATTCTGATTCTCACCATAAATATGATTTTCATGGGCATGTAGTCTATTAGGAGAATATTTGGAGTGGGAATTTAAGATACTCAAGATACTCATCAGGCCTGGATCTGCCATCAATCAATTCATGATATGACCTTAGGCAAACACTGTATTTTGTTTGTTTCAATATATCAAACTGAAATTGGTAAATATCAGTTAGGAATGTGTTTAGCTACAAATAATGGAAAACCTGATAAGAGTTTATTTTTCTAACATGACAAACCAAGAGGCAGGGAGTCAAGAATTGGGATGTTATTTAGGAGCCAGGCTCCTCTGTTTTTGCCATAAGCCTGTGTTTTTTTTTTTTTTTCTTTTTAAAGTTTATTTATTTTGAGAGAGAGTGAGTGAGAGCATGAGCTGGGAGGGGCAGAGAGTGAGAGAGAGAGAGAGAGAGAGGGAGGGGGTGAGAGAGAATCCCAAGCAGGTCAGTGCAGAGCCCGACATGGGGCTCAATCTCACAGACCGTGAGATTATGACCTGAGTTGAAATCAAGAGTTGGAGGCTTAACTGACTGAACCACCCAGGCTGTCAGCCTGTGGTTTTTGTCCTGATGGCAGAAAGTTGGCTGCTATACCTTCAGAAGGAAGGAGAGGGAAGGGTAGAGGGAAATCCTAGCGGAGTTTGTTCCCCCTGTTTTTTGGGAGGTAACTAATGTCCTGGAAGTCCTCTACCCACAAATAGTCTTCTCCTTACATCTCATTTGCCAGAACTGAAATATGGCCACTCCTACTCACAAAGGAACCTGGGAAGGCCATCCTCTTATTTGGCCATATTGAAGCCCTGCATCAAATCAGGGGTCTGTTGGGAAAGAAGAATTAGGAGTATTGGGCAGGAATTTAACTGTGCCCTTTTATCCCAAAGGGGCAGAAGAGAACGGTCACTCATCGGTTCAGTTGGTCTTTTAGCGGCGGTGAGCGTTGTGTTAAGCCCTTTTACCAGCCAACTCAAGTTAATTAAGGCAGGTGTGGCAGGCGGGAACTCTAGGGTAGAGGTGAGGAAAGTGAGGCTGGGAGGCATTAAGTAAATTGCTCCAGGTAGCAGAGAGCAATGAATTAAAATGCATCTCGCCTGGGTGGCTCAGTTGGTTGAACAACTGACTCTTGATTTCAGCTCAGGTCACGATCTCACAGTTCATGGGATCAAGGCCTGTGTGCTGACAGCGTGGATTTCTCTCTCCCTCTCTCTGCTCCTCCCCCGATTGCTGGCATGCACGTGGGTGCTCTCTCTCTTTCTCAAAATAAATAAATAAACTTAAAAAAAAAAGAATTTCTTCCTTAAAAAGAAAAAGAAGTATCTCGTCTCCTTACTGGCTTCAGAAGTAGAGGAGGTCCCAAGTTACTCAGAACTGTTACTCTGTTGGGCCTCCAAGGGAGGAGCTAAAGCACTTTCTTCCTTCTTTTCACTCCTCACCCTGAAGAAGGTTGGGCCTGGGGATAAGGGAAGATTCCCAGAGGCTCCCATGTCGATATTTGGGGATGCTGAGACTCTTGTCCAGACCTGTGCTTCCCTGCTACGACATCCTCTTTCCTTCCCAGATCTCCTGGAGCAGGATCGCTTCCTCACTGTGGCCCCTCTGCAAACTTCACGCTCCTTACCTGCACTGACGCGAGAGCAACAGAGGAGTCAATTGCCCCCAGCTCCTGATAGCAAGTAACATTGATTAGCCGGCTCCTGCAAAGGGCGATGTGGTAAATAATCGAGCACACGGCGTTGGCAGCCTTTGAATCACGCCTGGCCACTTCCTGGCTGTGTGATTTGCAAATTGATAGCTGTACCCTTCAGTCCCCCCATCTGTAAAATGGGTGATAATAATAGTAACCATGTCACACGGTTGTTGGGAGACTCGATGTACACAAAGCACTGAGAACAATGCCTACCACAGCCAACACCTGTGTGTGCTTAAGTCCGCTCCTTCTGGATGTCCTTTCAGGCATCTTGGTGATTAACTTGCTTTTATAGATTCGTTCTTTTGTATCTCGAAAGCCAAGTCTCCCGGGGTTGTTCTTAAGTTACTATTTGTTTTTAATGAATCCTGTAGTTATCAATTAATGCCTCGGTTCCTGCTGTTAATGCAGAGCGAGAAAAATAACAGCTAATATTTCAGCTCTTCTCTTCTGCCTTTCTAAAACACAGATTCACGGTACAGAGTGCGGTATGCCCCCTGGAGTCGTGTCGGATGGTGGCCCCCTCCGATCAGTCAAGTTGGGAGGGATGGGTTGGTAAATAGTGAGGATCACTTTGTTTGCTTCACACTTGGGGCTGAGCCTGCATGTTTTCCATTCGCTGTTTTTCTTGGCACCGGCTGTACTTTCTACACACGCATTTCAGCCATGAGTGTATGTGCCCACATGTTGGTGAAATATATTCCTCAACATGGATCGTGGTGGGCCCAGGGGAGACCACCTTCAGTCTGCTGCTCTTCTGTGTTTCCTCAGTCGCCGCCAGTAACACGCCATCTGGAGACAGGAGGTCAAAGCCCCAGGTTCCAGACCCTCGCCCTCGTCTGCTGTCACCTCAGGCCATGATATCGGGCGGGTTGCTCTCCCATGTGGGCCTTCAGCCTCCCCTCCCACGACATGATCCCCTTCCAGCACTACGGTTTTCCAGGATTTTCTGAAAGACGCTCTTGGACTTGGGAAGCACAGCGTGCTGGGGAGACCTTGGTTTTGAAGTTTTCCCTTTGAAGATTGCCTTAATTTATTGGGCATCTTGTTGCTGAAACATACAATCAAGAAAGAATAGACTGAAGTTCCTTTTCCTTCCCCAAATGTGATGCTTAAATAAAATTCTGTTTCATGGAGCAGACACAGAGGAGTAGAGACGGATAGGGTTTCCCTTGTCTTTGAGCCGTCCCAGAGGAGGCTGGAAACAGCAGGACGTCCCTTCAACCAGATGGGCCTCTGAGCTTGGAGAGCCAGGCAGTCACAGAGAATAGAGAAATCAAGGGCGGAAATGGGGAAAGGCTGGCCGCTGGATGTCGGCTTATTCTCGCAGCTGAATGTAGTCAGCCTGGAGGCCGGGGACAAGAGGGGGAAGGTTCACATGGGCTGGCGGGTTGGGGCGCTCCGTGTCATAGTTCAGGTCTGATGAGAAATCGGCCCATTGAGCTAACTGTGAATGCAAGACTTCCTTGAGAGCAGGGCCAGCCTCAGGGGACACTGGGACAGGGCAGGGTAGCTGGTACTCAGTCTCCCCTTTGGTGGCTTTGCCTCATTTCTCCTGAAGCAGGTATCTAGGGCTTGCCCTGCCTCCAGAGCCCTTCCCACATGCCTCCCCTGGCCCAGTCTTGATTTATCCAGTGACACTCTTGTCCTCAAATGTTTTCCTGCTCCCTTCCTTTCATCATTAATCTTCTTAAAATCTTACTCGGGGGATAGCACGGCGGGGTAGAAGGAGTCGTGGCCTTCGGACTCCATCTTGCATGGTGATGGTGGTCTTTTCGCTCATAACAATGGGGACCTGGGTGAGTTACTTGGTTTCCCTCAGCCTCAGTCTTCTCATCTTTGAGATGGGTACAGTAATCCATAATGTAAACAGTCCTTCCCCCTTATCCTTGGTTTTGCTTTCTGCCGTTTCAGTTACCTGCAGTCAACAGGAGTTTGGAAACGAGGGGTCCCCCTTCTGACAGATAATCAGAAAGTCACAAGTAGCCTAACACTACGTCGAAATGCCCACGTTGCTCCCTCACTTCATCTCCTCACACAGGCATTTTATCATCTCACATCGTTACAAGAAAGGTGAGTATAGGACAATAAGATATTTTGAAAGAGAGAGAGATCGGTCACATTCATATAACTTTTATTATAGTATATCGCTATAGTTGTTCTATTAGATTATTGTTCTTAATCTCTTACTGTGCCTAATTTATAAATTGAACTTTATCATGGCTATGTAGGCACACAAAAAACATAGTATATATAGAATTTGGTACTAACTGTGGTTTCAGGCATCTGCCAAGCATCTTGGAACATATCCCTTGCAGATAAGGGAGGCTACTCTAGCATTATTGAGATAATTCGATGAGATACAAAGGTTAGCTCAAAAAGAAAACCACCCCAAGGAAAATTATTTCCTCCTTCTTGTCCCATTTGTACTTCCTGTGTATTACAATCTGGGGGATTGGAAACACTTACGGATCCCCGGGATCCACCCCATCTCCCACTGGGAATCAGTATGCTCTAAAAGCTCCTCAGGTGACTGGTACAGCCTGGGTGAAAACCCACTGCCCTCAGACATTGCTGATTCAGACTTTGCTCTCCAAACCCAGTGCTGCTTTGATTCCCATCCCATTGGACCCGACTCCAAAAGTCAGTTTGTCTTCTGTGTTTTAATCTGACAAATGGCAGATGATTAATCAAGGTTTGTGTGCCGGATCCCTCCCCGAGCCCAGGATATTTGTTTTCACTGGCACCTTGACAGGAGCAGGGACAGATTCTCTTCTGGCACTAAGGGGAGGGGAAGGGTGGGTAAAGATTTACTGAAATGTTGTGGCAGAGGTGATTGGCTGAAATCGAGACATTCTCTGGGACAGTGACTGAGAATCAGTGGGGCCAGGTAGGGCTGGCGAACCAGATGGGCAGATTTCCTGTCTACATTCAGCAGTGCTGAAGCAGGGAACCGGGCAGCCAGGCCAGGATGAACATGGTGAATTTAGAAATCGGGGGATCAGGGCAGGATGTGCCTGACTGTGACGTGTGGCTCGGGAAGGGAAGCAGGTGTTTATGGCTGAAAATGGCTTTCCGAGTTAGTCCTTCTTCCTCCCAGTTACATCTTGCAGGACACTGTCAAACTATACTCTTTTTTTTTTATTTTTTTATTTTTATTTTTTTTATTTTTTATTTATATATGAAATTTATTGTCAAATTGGTTTCCATACAACACCCAGTGCTCATCCCAAAAGGTGCCCTCCTCAATACCCATTACCCACCCTCTCCTCCCTCCCACCCCCCATCAACCCTTAGTTCGTTCTCAGTTCTCAACAGTCTCTTATGCTTTGGCTGTCTCCCACTCTAACCTCTTTTTTTTTTTTTTTTTCCTTCCCCTCCCCCATGGGTTCCTGTTAAGTTTCTCAGGATCCACATAAGAGTGAAACCATATGGTATCTGTCTTTCTCTGTTTGGCTTATTTCACTTAGCATCACACTCTCCAGTTCCATCCACGTTGCTACAAAAGGCCATATTTCATTTTTTCTCATTGCCACATAGTATTCCATAGTGTATATAAACCACAATTTCTTTATCCATTCATCAGTTGATGGACATTTAGGCTCTTTCCATAATTTGGCTATTGTTGAGAGTGCTGCTATGAACATTGGGGTACAAGTGCCCCTATGCATCAGTACTCCTGTGTCCCTTGGATAAATTCCTAGCAGTGCTATTGCTGGGTCAAACTATACTCTTGATCCACCCAGAGGTCTTCTAAAGATAATTCCCATACAGTCTGAAGCTTCCTGTACCTCTCTGCTTGGGGGTGTTCTCTGGCCTTGGGAGCTTGGCCCGCACTTGATGGAGGGCTGGAAGTATTAGGAAATTAATGGCTTGGGTGCCACCTTCATATGGAGGAATGTTAGTTAGCGGATGAACACCCCAGCTTCCCTGCCCTTTGGTGGAACAGTCCTCAGGCATGTTCTGCACAGTTTCTTAGAAAGTCTCCTGTGTGAATGAGCCCCACATGCCACAGTGACAAGCCCCTCATCATGAACACTTTGCTGGCTTTCCTTCCTTCCCTGTCTCACTTCCCTTCAGGAGTCTTCATGGATGGAGAGGGGAAGGAAAGCATGGTAAGTACAATGCTTCACAATCTGTAGGTTGTGACCCATGAGGGAGTTACAATGTCCATTTTTATTCACTGATTTTGAGAAAGAGAGGGAGAGAGAGAGAGTGAGTGTGTGAGTGGGGGAGGGGCAGAGAGGGAGAGAGAGAACCCCAAGCACACTCCATGCTGTCAGCACAGAGCCTGATATGGGGCCCGGTCCCATGAACCGTGAGATCATGATCTGATATGAAATCAAGAGTCGGACTCTCAGCCAACTGAGCCACCTCGGTGCCCTGCAACATCCATTTTTAAAAAATGAAAGGAAACGAATGTGCCATAGTAAAGTATGCTACTCGTTGTAAGGGTACATACTGTTATATGAAAACTTCATTTCAGTCATGTGTGAATATGCTCACGTGCTGGTGAAATATATTTCTCAACGTGGATCATGCTCAAAAATTTTGAAGGCACTGCCATTTTGGGCCTCTGTGGTTTTTATGTTCTCAGGATCCATTCTTCCCTTTTTCTGCAGTAATAGTACCTGAGTATTCATCTCAACAAGGAAAGGGGACTAGGCCCCTAATTGGACATAGTTGTGATGCGACCATCAAACCAGTTGCATCATTTCTTGGTCAAAAGATGGTCTCGTGACCCATGACAGGTCAGTCAGATGATTGTTCCAGGGAACTTCAATCTAGAGAGGACACATGAAAAGGCTGAAACTAGTTGAAGATGCTTCATTCAAAGAGGATGTCTGAACATTAACATATATATGTTTTCTGCTACCTAGATCTTTGAACTTCCTTATTTTTTCCCCCTTTCAAGATTTGGTTCTTGAACCGTTGGATTGGTTCTATGAAATACCTGTGGATTACTTCTTTATTATTATTATTATTATTATTATTATTATTAATTATTGTTATTATTTACCCCTTCTGTTGCTAGAAACCAAAGAACCCTCCCATACCTGAGGGCTTTGGAATCAGCCGATCCTAACTCTATTGCCACTTGCCTGTGTTACTGGAAAATTACTTTTCTAAGCTTCAGGTTCTTCTCTTATAAAATGAGGATAGTAACACCAGATTGGAGGGTGCAGAGGATATTGACGTGGCCATTGGCCCTAGATCTTCAATTAATGGCAGCCACTATCCTGAGCCAAATTTTAATCATCTCTGCTTTACTAGTGATGACTTTGCACTTACTAAATATCTGCGGAGTGGATGAATGAATCCACATGACAAGGTAGATTTTCACAACTAAAACCCACAGCTGAACTTCTTTAAGGAGTTTCAACCCCTTGCATATGAAACATGTGATTTGTTGTTCAGAGACTGAATATGAGAACATCTCCATGACCTGGGGTTGGGCAAAAGAGTGCTTGATAACAAAAGCAAAGTCCATAAAAGAAAAAATTGTTAAGTTGAACATTATCAAAAATGAAAACTTCTGCTCGGTGAAAGACAGTGTTAAGAGAATAAAATGGCAACCTAGGGACTGGGAGAAAATATTATACAAATCACATATCCGACAAAGGTCTTGTATGTAGAATATACAAAACCTTAAAAACATACAACCTAATTTAAAAATGGGTAAAAGATGTGAACAGACATATTACCATAGAGGACGTATGGAGGGGCACAGAGGCACATTAAAAGATGTCGACACCATCAGGCATTAAGGAAAAGCAAATTAAAGCCATAATGAGACACAACTACATACCTATCATAATGGCTAAAATAAAAATACGGACAACATCAAGTGCAGAAAAGGATGCCGAGCAGCTGGAACTCTCCCACATTGCTGATGGGAATAAGACATAGTTCAACTGCTCTGGAAGACAATTTGGTGGTTTCTTATGAAGTTAAACATACACTTACCATGTGGCCCAGCAATTCCATTCCTGAGATATGAAATGAAAACTTATGTTTACACAAATCCTGTGCACATATTTACAGCAGCTCTGATCATAATTATCCCAAACTGGAAACAATTCCAACATCCGTCAGCAGCTGAATGGATATACAAGATTGTGATATATATATACACACACATATATATATATACATACATTGTGCTAAAACTCAGTAGTAAAAAGGAACGAAGCATCGAGGCACACAACAAATTGGATGAATCTTGGAGGGATCATGCTGAGTGAACGAAGCCAGTCTCAAAAGGTTACCTACCGTATGATTCCATGTGTACCAGGACTGGGGGAGGATGGGAAGTTTGGCATGGAAAAACCATTGGCATGGGTGGAGGATGGAATTCTTTGGTGGGGATGGAACTGTTCTGTATCCTGATTATGGTGATGGTTACATGAATCCATACGTGTGTTAAAATTCATAGAACTGTAAATAAAAAAGTCAACCTCCCTGTATGACAGTTAAAAAACCCTTCTCATCATGGAGCGTGCGTATTCGTTTAAGTATTTTCCTGTCCTGTAGGTCTACACCATCCAATATGGCAGCCACGACTCATGTGTGCTAGTCCCAGTTGAGCAAGTATAACGAGCACATCGGCTTCTGAAGACTTAATACAAAAAAAAAGGACATGCAGTATCTCAATAATATTTTATGTTGATTACGTCTTGAAATAGTACTGTTTTGGATAGATTTGATTAAATAAAGCATACTGTTAATTAACTTCACCTCTTTTTCCTTTTAAAGATCTGGTAACTAGAAAGTCATAATACATAGCTTGGATGATATTTTGATTTGACGGTGCTGCTCAGGATGACACAATCAGGGAGGAATGGGGAGGTCTGGCTTTTTCTCTCTTCATCTGGATCAACAGGTGTAGGATGGCCCTACTCAGGGTTGAACAAAACACATCTAGGCCCCTGCTTTTGGGGGCCTCTCCCTCCCTCCCAGTCTGTGTGAGAGGTGAATGCCATTATCCACATTTGTTGCGTCTGTCTGGCTCTTGCTAAGCTTTGGAGGAGAAGCAGGCGAGCGCAGGGTGAGACGGGGCGTATCAGAGGTAGGGCCAAGTGATGGGTCAGATGTGGGAGAATGGCAGGCTTTGGTTAGACTGGAGTGTGGATTCCATTTTAGCCACTAGTTAGCTGTGCAGCCCTTGGTCTTTCTTAGCCCTGGTTTCCTCCTGAGCAGGAGAGAATAAGAGAGTTCCCCAGGGGATTCCTCGCCGCCTAGGGCTGTGGTAGGACAAACAGGACAGAGCGTAGAACGCACCCACCTGGGCCACCAGGGGTGGTCATTTTGCTGTTGTGACTACCACCCTCCCGCCTCGGGCCCTGGTCTCTCCCTCCCTCCCCTTCCCTGCTCCCCAGTCTGTTGAACCTCGCAGGCACCCTGCCCAACTTTTCTCCCTGATTCAGCACTGAGAAATGCCAAGGCAAGCGTTCCCATGAAGCTGCTTGTCAGCAAACACCCACTCCTGCCTCTGCTCTCCCGCATGTGTCAGAGATGGGTCTGGACTCCACGCGAGGCCCTGGGGCCGCGCCAGCTCCAGGGCTGACTCATGCGCACCCTGCTGCACAGGGACTCCGGGGCTGTGCTTCCAACCTGTGAGATTCGACATCGGAGACTCCCCAGCGGTGCAACAATCCAGGGGAGAAAAGCCCTCCAACTGTCTGCAGGCGTTGCTGCCTTTTCCCCGGATTCTGTTTCAAAGGCATAAAAGCCTTGGTTTCAAACATTCAGTCGGTGCCTGGTCTTTTTCACTTTTTTTCCTTTGCCTTTAGTTTCTATTGAGATTCTCCTAGGTTTTTCTTGTTGGATGCCTCCTACTGTTCAGCATCAGCATCAAATATTAGGCAGGTGCTGTATAGCCTTATCAGCTACTAGATTTGTATCAAAGGAGCTCATCAAGTACCGGTTTGGGCGTGGCACCGTATGAGCCTCTCTGGAAGGGAAGTCAGACAGATGGGAGATCTCTTGGGGCAGGCGCACTTGGCAGTTGTGGTCGCTACCTAGCAGGGCTATCTTGATCCCCGCCAGGACTTTGATTGCTACAAAGGTTCTGCTGGCTCCTAAGTTCGGAGGGCTGTGTGGTTTGAGGACCTCAGAATTAGGCCTGGAGTGTGACATCGGCCATCAAGACAGGCCCCGCTCTGTGATAGAGGCAGTGGGGGATGGTGGTCCAGCACATGGGTTTTGGCATCTGACAGGCAGCCGTAGGTGTGCATCTGGACTCTCCCACTTAGGGGGCCCCTGGCTGCGGAGCCTGATCTTCTGAGGCCTGAGTTTCTCATCTGACACCTGGGTCACAGTACCATTCTCAGAGCTTGTGGTGAGAATGTAACACCTGCCATTTATTGAGCTGCTGCTATGTCCCAAGTACCGTGCTACGTTCCAGGGGTTTTCAGATTTAGTTCTTCTAGCAAACCCATGGAGCAGGTATTGGTTTTTTGTTCATTTTACAGATGAAGAAATTGAGGCTTAGAGAGGTTAGATAATATGCCCGGATGTGGATTCTAGTACTTTGCCCCACAAGCTGCCTGGCCCAGCCGTCTCCATGTGGGTACTCACTCAGGTGAGGATAGGGAAGGGGCTTCTGGAGCATGTGGAGTGGGGGCGTGGGCAGCTGAGAGTCCTCCCCTGGGAAGCTACGAGGTGGCAGGAGCTGGGACTGGGTGTGAGCTAAGGCTCCAGGCCTCTGAAGCATGCTCCATCGTCCCATCCAACTTCACTTGCAAAACACATACTCAGGGGTGGAATTTGAGAACTTCAAGATGGTGACTGCAGAGCATTAAACACCAGGCACGGGGCCTCTGCGGGTTGGGCCTATGTGACCACACCAGGCAGATGTTCACAAAGCTGGCACTATTTTAAATGCTTTTTATGGCATAAATATTTCTAAAGTGAGAAGCACGCTTCTGTGCGTGTGTGTGTGTGTGTGTGTCTTGTATGTATTGAGTTTCCTAAACTGGGGGTGGACTCATCTACATGGATGTGTGTATTTTTTTTAAATTAATTTTTATTTATTTATTTATTTATTTTATTTTTTTTCAATATATGAAGTTTATTGTCAAATTGGTTTCCATACAACACCCAGTGCTCATCCCAAAAGGTGCCCTCCTCAATACCCATCACCCACCCTCCCCTCCCTCTTGGATGTGTGTATTTTATTTTATTTTATTTTACTTTTTAACGTTTATTTATTTTTGAGACAGAGAGAGACAAAGCATGAATGGGGGAGGGTCAGAGACAGAGACACACAGAATCTGAAACAGGCTCCAGGCTCTGAGCTGTCAGCACAGAGCCCGACGTGGGGCTCGAATTCACGGACCGCGAGATCGTGACCTGAGCCGAAGTCGGACGCTCAACCGACTGAGCCACCCAGGCGCCCCTGGATGCGTGTATTTTAAAACACAGCAGCAGCTCAGCCTGTGTGACTCGGGGGAAGCGAGTGGAGTGTCTGGCAGTCTGCATACACAGAGTCTCTGCTGTCTGTTCGGTCGCCACACCAGGGACTCCTGGGCATGCAGTGCTCCTTCCTGCCCGGTTTGAAGAATGTTTGGTTCATACCTTCCTTGGGAGAGAGAATAGTGCTGTGGCTAATAGCTTCCATTCCAAGGGCTCCAAATACTTGGGTTATTGACCAAGCTCATGACTCTGCAGCTTTCTTGCCACTTGACCTCAGGCCAAATACTTAACTCTTTTGAACCTCAGTTTTGCCATCTGTAAAATAGGCATATGGTGTCCATCTCCTAGGACTCTTTGAGGATTATAGAGACAAGGGCACGAAAAGCACCCAGCACGGTACGTGGCATATATTGACCATTCAATAGGTGTTGACCACTGTTATCATTCCTGAGTTTAAGAACAGTTACAGAACTTAAAAAGTGACGTGTGTGTAGGTAGTTAATGATCAAAATGGAACGGTACCAAGTATAAGATGAATGGATGAATTCTGAGAATGTTTCTCAGTAGTTTATTATCTAATAGTAATGCTTGAGATGAGTTCATCATTTTATAGTTCACAAAGCATTGTCTTACACATAATTCCATTCTAGGAGCACAACAGCCCTGCAAAGTAAGAAGAGCAAGAAATCCATTGTCCTGTTTTACAGATTGAAAAACTAGAGGCCCAGAGATTAAACCCAACTTATGTTAATGGGTAACATACTGTGTGACAATGTGTTAGATTTGGGGATAAAAATGGGTAAGAGTTTTTTTCCTGCCCTTTTGAAGAAATTGTGGGTCAGGGGAGCCTAGAGCAGGCTTGTAGGAGGGCGCTGACCTTAAGGTAATGTATCTGTCAGGATAGATCAGGTGATGGTGGCAGAAATAGTAATGATGAATTTCCGTGGCTTAAAAAAAAATGAAGATTTATTTCTCATTCATGCTATTGGTCCATCATGGGTCAGCTGGTGGCTCTGCTCCCCTAATTTCACTCCAGACAGGACAGATAGAGCAGCCTCAGGTTGGATCTTTGCTTCTTGTTGTGGCAGAGGAAACGGATCTGAGATTGGGAGGGTCTCACACCAGCAATCAAATTCTCCACTCATGGGCCAACCTTTTAATATGGTTGCACCCCACCACAGGGGGCAGGGGAGGAAGTAAAATTCCACTACGAGCCCAGAAAGCAGGGAGCTGGAAATATTTGGTGAACAGATGAATAAGGACTCCAGGTGGGTAGGCTCTGAAGGACGGCTAGAGATCAGGTGAATATTGGCGGGGTGGGTTTGGTGGGGAGAGTCGAGGGATGAAGAAGATGAAGGGCAGCCGTAAAGACATGGAGGCTGGTGGGGGGATGGGAAGCAGTGGGGGAGGCGAGAAGCTGTGAAAGAGACGGAAGCAGAAATGCACAAGGTGCAAGGGTGGAAATAGTGAGTCTGCCGGTCTGGCTGGAAGAGTCTGATTCAGCTCCTATTGTGTATTAAACGCTGGGGATGCAAAGAAGAAAAAGCATGTTGCTTACCTTTGAACAACCTACGGTCCGATAGAAGAGCTAGATTTTGTACATGGCACAAAGGGAATCAAAATATAAGAACAGCCGGTGCCATTGCCAGGTACTCTTCCAGGATCTGTATGTATTTGAACTCATGTCATCGACATTGTAGCTTAGTGAGGTAGATGCTGTTATTATCCCCATTTTATGGCTGACATAACTGAGGCATGGAATGGCTAATGGATAGCAGAGATGGGCTTCCAATCCAGACACTCTTAGTCCAGTTTCTGTGTTCTTAATCTTAAAGCTTCACTCTACTGGTTTTGTTTGTTTGTTTGTTTGTTTGTTAACTTGTGAGTTGGGGCTGTGCCAATAATCTTGGACGGGAAGTAGTTTTGCCTGGAGATCCAACATGATAGATTGTTATTGGCTGCTTGGAGCTCCATGTTGGGAAGGTTCCCAAGACCAAGCTGGGACTCAGGGAGGAAGGAATGATGTGATTAATTAGTAATGCCTGCCATGGCAGGAGAGGTGGTATTGTCAGCATAATATCTTTGGTAACCCTGGTCCATTTAATGCCTAGAGCAAAGTGGATTGACTCAATTTACTAACAAATAAAGTCAAAGCCAGACAACTGTTTCATTGACTGTTTTCCTCACTTTTCAACCTCTTTTCTTACTTCAAGGCGCTATCATATTTATGGCAGCGTAGGTATTCCTTGTTTGAACAGTTAGCTTTCTTTTCTGGAGATTAATGTTTAAAACATCAAAACTATAACCCTTCAGGCAAACATAACAACTTAGTTGTCAAAACAACAAAAATATCAGCCATGGCAAATGTTCAGTCCATTGCTCCCCTGGTGTAGTCATCAGCTGGGGTGGCATGGCAGTGATAATAATTTAAAAAAGGATTCGAATTGTTGGATCCAATTTCTGTGCAAGGAAGAATCCATCAGCTAACTTAGGGAATTGAGCCATGAGAGAACCCAGCTGCAGCATGCGTCATCAGTGGAATTTCCTGCCTGGAAATGTTGTAGGGCTTTCCCCTGCAGGGAAAGTTCTAGGAATGTTGCCCCCCCGCCCCCCAGCTCCCTTTTCTTTTCTTGACTTTTCTTTCCTGGGTACCACTCTATCTATGCCCAGCCTTTCGTTGCTTTCCTATTATTTCCTGCACATTCCTGGGGATAGATCCCAAACTCAGCTGCACGGAGACATGAAGAGAACTAAGAGCTGAGAGCTCAGATGATAAATAGGTTTCCTCTCCTGGGCCAGCTCTGATCAATTGCTCATGGCTACCAAAATGCTGAGTTGAGAAGGTTTGCAATGGACTCAGCCTGAGAGCATACAGGGATTTATCAGTGATGCGTCTGCCGTGAGTGTGGGTGAGGGACAGTAATGTCTGTAGGCTTCTACTGGGCCTGCCGGGATGGAAAGCCCGCACTGTTCCTACAGATGTGAGAGAGTGAGCTTGGGGTCCGGCCTGAGGAAATGCTCGTTCAAGTCCTGTCTCTTCTCTTTCTGTGTGAATCTTGGATTCACTCGAGGAAAACTCGAGTAAAAATGATCCTCCTTATGGAGTGCTTATAAGTGTTGTAGGGATGATGCACATCCAGTCAATAAATATTTGTGAAGCACGCTGTAGGTTGCTGGAGGTACGATGAGGGGTACGCCATGGACGTGGTTCCTGCCCGCACAGAGCTTATAGTCTAGTGGGGGATATATTTGTTTTCTATTGCTGTAACAAAGTATCAGAAATTTAGAGGCTTTGAAAGTATACATTGTTATATCACATTTCCTGTGGGTTAAGGGTCTGGACACAGCTTAGCTGGCTCCTCTGCTCAGGGTCTTGTAAGGTTGCACTCAAGGTGTCCACTGGGTTCGTTCTGATCTGGAAGCTTGATTGGAGGAAAGTCTGCTTCCAAGCTTCTTCAGCTTGCTGGAGGAGTTGACTTTCTTATCACGGTAAGACTGTGGGCCTCGGTTTTGGCAGGCCGTCAGCTGCATTCCATCTGCAGGCCATAGAGGCCGCCCATGATAACGGGGGCCTACTTGCAGCTCCTTGCCATGGCGGCTTCTTCAACACGGCTTGACTTCATCAAGCCAGCCAGCAGAGTCTCCTGCTCCAGTCTGCCGAGATGGAGTGTTATGTAAGCTAATACAGCCTTGGGGGTGATATCCCTTGACCTTGTCTATTCTACTGATTAGAAGCAAGTCACAGGTCCTGGCTATATAGTCAAGGGGCAAGGGATTATACCAAGGCATAGAAAACCGGAAGTGGGAGTCATTGGGGTCTCTCTACCACAGAGATGTGCAAACAAGAGTTCATTTATAAGACAGTGTGTATATAAGGGAGACGTATACACAAGAATGGCAATAGTGTCATAATTGCTTAGAGTATAGGAAAGTACATATTGGGGGCACTCAAACAGTGTCAGGGTTGTTAGGACTTTGTGGAGGAAGTGATTAAAAAAATTTTTTTTATTATGTTTATTTATTTCAGAGAGAGAGAGAGAGAGAGAGAATGAGCAGTGGGGAGGAAGAGACAGGGAGACACCGAATCCGAAGCAGGCTCCAGGCTCTGAGCTGTCAGCACAGAGCCTGATGTGGGGCTCAAACTCACTCACTGTGAGATCATGACCTGAAACAAAGTCTGACACTTTACTGACTGAGCCACCCAGGCACCCCATGGGAAGTGACTTTTTAAGCTGAGACCCAAAGGATGACTGAAGTTAGCCATATCCTAATATACTATCCAGATGTTACTTCTTTTCATTACCATGTACCACCCAGAATTGTATCAAGTCTTCAGAGAAGGTCTTTCCAGCACTTAGAGCGAGACCCTTTTCAGACTTGCTCTGGGATCTTTTGTTAATGCACCCCAAAGAGCATCAACTCCTGGGCCCAACTGTCACCAGATGGCAAGGAGAGGAGTACCAGGAGCACCAGGCTGAGTGGGTGATGGTGGGTCAGGAATGGGATTCTAGGGATTCTCTGTGCAGCTAGCGTCAGTTCCCACTGATCATCCCTCGGAAGGAAGGGAAGCTGATGAGGTGTTCTAGGACAGAATGAGGAAACCCCTCTCGGTTTCAGATTGGGCCTGTGGTTGAAGAATCGATGGCCGAACCAAAGCTTTTCCCATTCCGTGTAGATCTCTTTAGAAATAATGAGAGCATTGACAGTTGTCATCCAAAGTCTTGTTCCAATTTGTTAAGCTTTTAGTAGACCTTACTTGCTATTATTGAGAATAATGCATCATCGTTTTGAATATTTGCTGTGTGACAGGTAACAGCTAAGCCCTAAGTGCTTGAGCTGGATTATCTATCTCAAGAAGCAGCTTTCTCCGTGGCTTCTAACTCATGAAATTCTGCTGGCCAGATTGTCTTCCCTTTTCCTTGCTGCCTATTAAAATTCTCCTCATCCTACATGCTGCATCTGAAGTCCCACCCCTTCTCAGAAACTGGCCATGAGCACTCCAGTGCATATGATCCCTACTGATAAGTTTATCACCCCCTTACCCTCTGTCTTCCATCACCTGTAACGAGAATCATAGCATTCGGGAGCTCTGTCTCACCTGTCGCTTTCTAGATGTACTTCTACCTTATGATCTGTCCCCGCCAGACGGTCTGACCACAATCACCCTGGTCTCTGTCTACAATTCCTGCATCCCTCTGCTCCATCCCGGGCAGTGCAGACAGACTGGATTTTCTAAAGTTCCACCTTGGTTGTGTCACTTTATTATCACTCAAAAACTTCTAGTATCTAATCTGTAATCCACACCAATTTCCCTTTGTTTCCCCCCAACTGTGGAGCTTGAACTCACGATCCCAAGATCAAGAGTCACGTGTTCTACCAACCAAGCCAGCCCGGTGTCCTTAGCCCACACCAGCTTCACTTCTTGGAGTTTACCCCAGACATATCTGCCCATGTGTGAAATCACAACTGCTGTTCATACTGAGTGCTGTATCACTGGCAGGAGCAGCAAATCTGAAGCAACCAGCATATTCATCAATAAGGGCTTGGCTAATAAGGGCTGGAACATTTTAACTGTGGTTTTTAAGCCTGGTTGCACTTTCAGGTCACCTGGGTATGGTATATTAGGATGATCTGAAAGTCTCTGCCACTTCTCCCATTGAGAGGTAGAGTCTAATTCCCCCTCTCTTAAACAGGGATAGTCTCTTGTTTAGGGACTTGCTCAACCAATAGAAGGGGATCAAATAGGTCGTCTGAGATCTCAAAGGCTAAGTTTGAAGAAGCTTTGTAGCTTTTGCATTGACTCTTGGAGCTTAAGCTCTGGGGTGAGCCAGCTGCCATTGTAAGACGTCTGACTAGCCTGAGACTGCCATTCTTTGAGGAAGCCCAAACCAGCGGCATGAAGACAGGCGGTGGGTGGAGAGGGAGGAAGGGAGGGAGGGAGGGAGGGAGGGAGGGAGGGAGAAAGAAAGAAAGAAAGAAAGAAAGAAAGAAAGAAAGAAAGAGACACAGAGAGAGAGAGAGAGAGAGAGAGAGAGAGAGGTCCATTCAGCCCCAGCTGTTACAGCCATCCTAGCCCAGGCACTAGGCATGTGAGTCAGGAATCGTTTTTAGATATTTCAGCCTCTGCAGATATGATGTGGATAGTAACCAAGCATTCCAACTGATGTCAAAATCAAAGCCCCAGATACACGGCTCCAATCAAACCATTCCTGCCATCTCCCAGCCATCCAAGTCACCCCACCAAAGCCCCCCATCACTGTGGAGCAGAGACAAGCTGTCCCCACTGTGCCCTACAAGAATTCTTGCTCCCCCCCCCAAATTGTGAGCATAACAAAATGGTCATTGTTGTATGCTTCTAACCTTTGAGGTGATTTATTGCAGAGAAAAGATAACTGGAACTCCTGGGGATCTTTCAAAATCTCCCTAGGCCATTCTAATGAACAACCATGAGAAGAATCACCAGTCCATAAAATTAAATGCTATTGTATCCATTTGAAATGAATAAAGAAGCTCTCTTTGGAGATGCCTGGCTGGCTCAGTTGGTAAAGCATAGGACTCTTGGTCTTGGGGTTGCGAGTTCGAGACCCACATTGGGTGTAGAGATTATTAAAAAATATAAATAAACTTTTTAAAAAGCTCTCATTGTCTTGCTCTGGTGTGATATCCAACTTGTATTGCTGAGTAGTAGTTAGAAAGTCACCAAGACAATTTTTATACTATGTTACCATGTGTGTAAAGGAATTATGTAGGCATGGATTATGTCTGAAATAATATATAAGAAAGTGGTAAGTAACATTTGTTGCTCCCATAAAGGGGAACTGGATGGCTGGTGATCTGAGGAAAAACTCTTTATACCCAATGATAGCTTTCATATTTTAAAACATGTAAATGTACCAATTTAAGGTTAAAGAAATTCTGCCTGTCGCTTACCAAATTCTTTAGCCTGATCTGACCTCAACCTCCTCAACCTTCATTTCTGGGCTTATTACTCACTCCTCTTATTTTACACTAAAAACTGGTTATGTTAAGCAGAATAATGCCTCAGTCTCCCGAGTTGTCCTAATTCCTGGAAACTGGGAGTGTTATACAACAAAAAAGACTTTGCAGATGTGATCCAATTAAGTAGTTTGAGATGAGGACGTAATCCTGGATGATGTGAGTGGGTGCAGGGTAATCGCAAGGGTTCTAGTGAGTGAGAGAGGGAAGTAGAAGTCAGAGAAGGAGATCTGGGGAAGGAAGTAGAGGTCACAGGGATGTGATTGCTGACTTTGAAGATGAAGGAACGGGGACCCTCTGAGGCAGGGGATGTGGGTGGCCTCTGGGAGATGGAAAAGGCAAGAAGACAGATCCTTTCCTCCCCTAGGGCCTCCAGAACAAACACAGCACCTTGAGTTTAGCCTAGTGAGACCCATTTCAGACGTGTGACCTCTAGAACTGTAAGATAATAAATTTATGATGTTTTAAACCACTAAATTTGTGGTAATTTGTAACAGCAGCCATAGGAAATGGGACACACTGGTGTTTCTCCAGATGGTGTTCAGAGAAATAGGCCTTTTGAGGGAATATTAATGAAAATAATAAAAAGGTTCTCCAAAGCAAAAAAAAACAAAAAAAACAAAAAAAACACAACGAGTTATAATAGTTTTTAGACATTTTTTTAAAAATTTTTTAACGTTTATTTATTTTTGAGACAGAGAGAGACAGAGCATGAACGGGGGAGGGTCAGAGAGAGAGGGAGACACAGAATCTGAAACAGGCTCCAGGCTCTGAGCTGTCAGCACAGAGCCCGACGCGGGGCTTGAACTCACAGACCGCGAGATCATGCCCTGAGCTGAAGTCGGATGCTTAGCCGACTGAGCCACCCAGGCGCCCCTAGACACTTTTTTTTTTAGAGAGAGCATGCGAATGGGGGCAGGACATAGAGGGAGAGAGAGAGAGAGAGAGAGAGAGAGAGAGGGAGACGGAGAGAGAGGGAGAGAGAGAGAGAATCTTAAGCAGGCTCCATGCTCAGCCCAACATAGGGTTCCATCCCACCTCCCTGAGATCATGACCTGAGCCAAAATCAAGAGCCAGATGCCCAACCAACAGAGACACCCAGGCCCCCCAACATATTGTTATAGTTTTTAATCAAGTTAAATGAGGTATAATTTACACATAAAATGTACAGCAAAATGTTTACATTCTGTGTACAGGTCAATGAATTTGACGCATATGTACATCCATGTAACCTACCATCCCAATCAAGATATAGAACATGTACATTACCCCAAAATGTTTTCTTGTGCCCCTCCCTATCCCCACCACCTGTCTCAAGTAACCATCAACTTGCTTTTTTCACTAGACAAATTATTTTTTCTTAAGTTTATTTATTTTGACAGAGAGAGAGAGAGAGAGCATGCGTGCATGAGCAGAGAAGGGCAGAGAGAGGGAGAGAGAGAATCCCAAGCAGGCTCCCTGCTGTTAGTGTGGAGCCTGATATGGGGCTCGATCCCACGGACTGTGACATCATGACCTGAGCCAAAATCAAGAGTCAGACGCTTAACCGACTGAACCACCCAGGCGCCCCTAGACAAATTATTTTTAACTGCAGGGCTTCTCAGGATCTTTAATATGTCAAGAGAATTGTGAGACATGCTGTGACAGGGGGTTGAATCTCCAGACTTTTCTGATCATGGATCCTTTCGTTCTGGAACAGCTCACAGGATGATGGGCTGTCACAACACACCTGAAAAATGCTTTCCTGCTCACCTGCTCAGCTCAGGCATTTCCTCCCTCGTTCAGTGCCCATCTCTATCTTTCAAAAATGTTTTCATGGTTGAGTGCCTCCATGGAGTAGACGTTTCTCTCTGCTAAGTCTTGTATTCTTTGTTCCATATCTCCTGTAGCACGCACATGGCATAATGGTTAATATTATAGCAATATTATATTTGCATTATAGATACATGGTCATATAGTCTTTTCTGAGGGCAATGGGTGCTATTTGCTTTACTATTACATGATTACCAGGAAATGCTCAAGTGTTCATCAGGGAGTCAAAGAAGATATGCTCCAAGGTAACTCTCAAGCTGCCCTAGATTTGGAGCCTTCACTTGCTAAAACATTTTTAAACTCCGCTTCACTAACCCATCGCTATGTGAGTTTAATAGGCTATGGTGAATGACTCCCTCATCTTCTTACCCCACATCCAGCCCCAACACATTCCTGAGTACTGTGGATTTCACTTCTGAATGGTCTCTCCCATCCTTAGCTTCCTTTCTATGCCCTCTGCCGCTGCCCTTGTCCAAGTTCTTATCATGTCACACCTGCATTATTACACTGGCCTCCTGGCCATTTCCCATCCTCAGCCTTGTTCCTCCTCTCATCTATGTTCCATTGTAATGCCAGGATCCTGATCTTGTTCTTCTGCCTAAAAACCTGAACACAGTCGCCCATGGTTTATAAGATCACGTGGGAAGGGCTAGCGTGGCAAACATAGCCCTCCCCACGTGGGACCTTTGCCTCTTAAGCTTCATCTGCTGTTCTGCTTTTCCATGTACCCTCCATTCCAGTGACTGTGGCTCCGCACAGCTTCATGGATACACGATGCCCTTTCAAGATGCCACGTTGTTCCTTCAACGTGGGATGCCCTTCCCCTTCTCCATCTGGCAAATGTCTCGTCATTGGAAGACATTCCAAATATCACCCCAGGAAGACTTCCCATCTTCCCAAGGTGCAGTGAAAACTTCTGCTTCATTACCCGTCAGTGGTAACTGCATACACGTCTTTGGCAGAGCTCGTGTCTAATTGCATCACAATTACAATGTATTGGTTTAGATACCGTCTCCCTCACTATAATATGAATCGTGTGAAACACAAATGACCCCCTTTATCCTTGCATCCCCAGCTCTTAGCACAGTGCCTAGCAAAACATATCTGTGACTAATAACGGCTAACGCTTAATGAGCTTTTACTATGTGCCTGGGCACTGCACTAAGTATCTTTGTGGGTGAGCTTGATTATTTCACTTATTTCTCACACAGCCCTGTGAGGAACATTGTGTTAATGTTTCTGTTTTGCAGCAGAGAAAAATGAGCCTTGGCGTAGTTAGAAACTTTCTGGTACAGCTATTTCTGTGTGTTTCATAAAACTGGTAACTGGTAGAACTTCTACTGGAACCTGGATTTATCCACTTGTTGTCCTTTTTTGTTTAAAAACTGTTTATTTATTTATTTTGAGAGACAGAGAAAAAGAGAGAGGGAGAGAGGGAGAGAGAGAGAGAGAGAGAGAGAGAGAGAGAGAGAGAGAGAGAGAAGGGGAGACAGAGACAGAGAGGGAAAGAATCCCAAGAAGGCTCTGCACTGTCAGTGCAGAGCCCAGGGCGGGGCTTGATCCCACCAACTGTGAGATCAGGACGCCAGTCAAAATCAAGAGTCAAATGCTTAACCAACTGAGCCACCCAGATGCCCCTATCCATTTTTTTTCTCCTAATATGAGCTATTAGTATTCCCTGAATGAATACATGAACAGTTATTTGAATATTTAAAATGTGTATCTTCAAGCAGCAGACCAGGACCATTTCCTTGGCTTGGTAAAGGGAGAGGAAGCCTCTGGGCAGAGGCGTTAACACGAGCAGAGCCTGAAGAGAAGGGGTGCAGACTCAGAGAAGTGAGAACACGTACCCCAGGATGCAGAGTAGTAAGTGGCCGAGTCAGGATTTGAACTCATGTAGGTTTCCAGTATGGGGTCCCTGAAGCTTGGCTTCTGCTTCCAGCAGCCCCCATCTCCAGGGAAATTCCAACACTAAGCATTTCTGGTTGTAGGTTCAAGCAGTCAAGAGGGAGCCCCCTGTTCCCTGGGGAAGGCCGCTCCTATCTTCACTGCCAACCCCCCGCTCTCTCCTCGTCTCCACTTGACGCTGAATGTGGCTGGAGAAAGACAGCTGCTGTGTCACCAGGAGGAATCCGTGCTACTTAACAAGCACACGCTTCCCTGGTCTGTTCACTCTTCCAGCCGTTTCAAACCCTACCCTCTCTGCTATACCTCTAGTATTCTCTCTCTCTCTCAACTCATGAACTTGACTCCTATTACAAGGAGAAATCTTAAACCCTACAGGAAGCCTCTGGGAGCTTTGCTGCTTTATTTACCAGCTTACACACATTGGGCACATGTGTTCTACCTTCCCTCATATTAGTGGTCAGACTCTATACTCCCCTACTGGACTGGCCTCTGTTGTGTCCTCTGTCTCATCCTCTTCCACTGATGAGAACATACATCATCAGCAATTCTTCCCTCTCCCTCGATCAATCATCAATGGGTCACTCTCGTCCACATACACACATGCTGTGATTTCTGCTCCCTGGGGCTTTGCATGTGCCATTCCCTTTCCTTGCCATGCTGTTCCAGGAAATATTTGCAAAGCTTGTCTCTGTTTCCTTTGGATCTTTGCACAAGTATCCTCTCCTGACCATGATGTTGAAGAGTGCAAAAACTGCAGAGCTACGATCTCCTTTACTTTTGGAAGTAAAAAGAAGGAAAAATGTGAAAACAAAGGAAAGATTTAATTTTTTTTTAAAAAAGTGCAAAAATGTCACCTTCCCTATCCTGTTTTAATTTTTCTTCATAGTATTTACCACCACCTGACATGCTATAGACTAGTCATTTGATCTTCCAGGGCAGGGTTTTTCTTTTTCTTTTTCTTTTTCTTTTTCTTTTTCTTTTTCTTTTTCTTTT